GCATTACGAAAGCCAAAAACAAAACTTAAAGGATAGTGACTGTTGATCAGCATGCAGACCAAAGAAACCTTTGTAGGATTGATGGAAATGTAAATTGGTACAATCTTAAGGGAAAAAAATTTCAAACTTTTAAGTAAAACTCTCACATGATTCAGCAATCCCTTTTCCAGACATATATTCAAGGGAAATGATATCTTTCTACTGAAAAGATACCTGCAATTCCATACTCACTGCAGAATTATTCACAATAACTATAATATGGAAACAACCCAAATATCCACCAAATGATGAATGAATAAGCTAAGTGTACTGTCCATGTACAATGGACTATTACATAGTCTTTTTTAAAAGTTCTCTTTTTATGAGTACATATTTGCGGTACACATTCATCAGGAGGGGTCAGTACATGTATATGACACATTTTCAAATCTTTTTCATTTCCATCTCTTTCTTTCCCCCCTTCAGAATTAAACCTTGCCATTTTATACAACATGGATAAACCCAAAAAATTTTATAGTATGTGAAATTTTTTCACATATATATGGAATCTAAAAATGGCTAAATTTATAGAAACAGAAATGTAGGTGGTTTATTACTAGAAGCTGAGTGGTGCACCTAGTGAGGAGATGTTGGCAAAGGGTCACAAATTTTCAGTGTGAGATGAAATTCTGAACATTTAATGTCCAACATGGCAACTATGGTAAATAATATTTTATTGTATGATTAAAATTTCTAAGAGAGGAAATCTTAAGCATTGTTACTACCAAAAGCAGAAAGAGAAAAAAAGAAAGAGAAGAAGGAAGGAAGGAAGGGAGGAAGGAAGGAAGGGAGGAAGGAAGGAAGGAAGGAAGGAAGGAAGGAAGGAAGGATGGATGGAAGGAAAGAAGGAAAAAAGAGAGGGAGGGAAGAAGGGAGGGAGGGAGGAAGGAAGGAAGGAAGGAATGAAGGTTAGGGAGAGAGGGAGGGTGGGAAGGAAGGAAAGGAGAAAGAGGGAGGGAAGGGAGGAGGGAAGAAGGAAAGGAGGAAGGGAGGGAGTGAAGTAGGAAGGAAGAAAAGAAGGAAGGGAAGGAGGGATGAAGGAAGGGAGGGAGGGAAGCAAGGAAGGAGAGAAAAAAGAAAGAGAGACATAAAGAAGGAAAAGATAAAAGGCAGGGAGAAAAGGACAGGAAGGGAAGGGCAGAACTAAATATAACATATCCCAATGTCTCCACACCCACACACAATTCTTTCTTAAAACACATGCCAAATCTCTAGCATTCTGCAAAAATTTAGTTCAGGTGAAATTCAAATCCAGTGATGCTAAATAGCTATGGGTATGTAATATTCTTTTGCCATCTTGAATTTTTAAATTCATTCCAGGGCAGTCACAGCTCCCAATGTGTATAATAATGTGAGTTGTATTGATTTCTAATTTCACAGAGTTCACAATTCCACTTGTAAGAAGCAATTGGAACATGGTAAGAACAATGATGATAATAAACCCAAATGTGGTGTAAAGACTGTAAGGTGACAAACCTTAGAAAACATGCTCTCTGAGACAGATATTGAAGAAACAACAGAAATCTGCAGATAGACACAAAAGAACAGATTTGTGGCAGCAAAATGGTCCTATAAAAGACAAAGCCTCAGAGTGCAGTCTATTGAGAGAATCACAATTCAGTGGGGCTTGTAAAAATCGACAGTAATACAAGCATATGGAACCGAAATAAAGGTTTGCTCTGCATAATACAGCTCAAAATCACCTAGAAATACAGAGAAAGGATAAAGTTACAGAAGACAGAGAAGTGTTAAGTGTAGATTCTCTCTTCCTGGGTCATGATCTACCAAGGAAGCATTAGTGATATCACATCGGGGTAGGGGAGTCATTGTGGCCAATACAGTATACATATTATATGTTTAATAAAAAGTTAAAAAAGATAATTTCTGAATTCTGTGATCTGAAAGTCTGCCTTAAATATTTGTGTAAAGATTTTACCCATTTCTTTTCATCTCCAGTGGCATTTTTAACAGTCAACCTAAAAACTGTTTAAACCAAGTCTACCTGTAGTTTGGGACATGACTCAACAAATTAACAAGTGGTTTTAGGGCATAATAAAGAAAGTTACATAAAAATGAAAACTCTTTTACTGGTATAAAATAAATTTATATATAGTTTCCATGGTTTCAAAGCTTGTCCATGAGCTAAATTTGAGAAACAAAGTTAGAATAAGGTTGGATTCTGAGAACTAAAAATCCTCTTGGCATGAACAACTCCTCCCCACTCTTGGTACTGAGAACTTTACCAAAATCTAGTGCCACCTTTACTGGTTCACGATATGTCTTCAGAGCTGGGTGCAGTGGGGCACTACCATAATCCCAGTACTCAGGAGGCTGAGGCAGGAGGATCATTGCAAGTTCAAGACCAACCTGGGCTACAAAGTGAACTCAAGGCCAGCCTGAACTGCATAGCAAGACTCTGTCTGAAAAAATGAAAACAAACAAACAAACAAACAAAAAAAGTTATGTCTACTTGATGGGCCCAGACCTTTCTAAGGAAGCTCACTGTCCCCCAAAAGATTTACTTTGCATTACATTATCATAAAATAGAGTGAGCATTAAATTTTTTTAATAATTATTACAGTAAAAGACACATTACAATTAATCCCCCTCAAAACATTCATTCTCACTTATATGAACTTATTCCATCATTCTTACCACACTCAGAAGTAGTTCCAGAAGTTCTCTTTAGTGAGTCTTTACTTGAGCTGCTTTACTTGAGCTGCCTCAATGTCCTAAATTAAATCAAAATGTTGACCTTTATTGGTTGTCTGCCTGTGAGGAACAGCCAGAAGCCTCATGGTGAATAAGGAGCAGAGAACAACACCACACCATGTTTTTACCAGCCTCGCTTTTTGTTGGATTGCACTGGACAGCTGTATTATTTATTTTTCTTATTGCTGAGGCAAAATACCTGACATCCAAAGTTAAAGGGGGAAAGGTTTATTTAGCTGACTGTTTGTAAAGGCTTCAGTCCATAATCAGCTGGATCTAAGGCAGGGTAGTACAGGAGAGGGACAGCAATTCATGGGGTGGAAGACAGAAAAAGCAGCACAGGGTCTCTCTCTTTCTGTCCCTTATATTGTATGCAGGCTACCTGCCTTGGGGCAAGTACAGCACTCACACCCTTAATCCCAGCATTGAATCAGTCACACACGCTAGATTCAGCCACCCGCAAAAAACACCCTACAACCACAGGAGGCTTTGGGGGGACATCTAGACACAAACCTTAACAGCATGATATTTTTCTACTAAACTTCATAATGACACAAAAAAGGACTTCCAGAGCTGCTTCAGAAAGTGGCAAGAAGGAAAGGAGAAGTGCGTTTAAAATGAAGGGCAGGTTTTTTAAGAGGCATTAATGGAAATACATCATTTACTGTAGTAGATTTTTTTAGACACTCACCACATAGTTCAATCACCCCTTGTATTTCTGCCAAAACACCTCTAAAGGCAACCGATGGTCCTTTCCTTAGTGTACTTATTTTAACAAGCCTGAAATTATAAATCTTTGCTCTGACTCTTAGAGTTGTGAACATTTTACCATATAGAAATATCTCCCCAAGACCTAGGAGCTGCATCTTTCCCATGCAAGCACCTACAGGAACTGATTCTCTTGGCTTCCAGTTGCTAAGGGAGGTTAAGAGCCTGACTTCACAAGTTGGTGACTAACCAACTTGGAAAACTCCCTACTGTCCTAAAGATATGAAAAGCCTGTTTCTTTCTTCAGATAAGACATGTAACAAAAGAAGATGGCCTGATCATGGGAACCAGTTCCCCTTAACCCATTAAGTGCTTTTCCTTTAGCCCACCCCAGTAAACAGTACGAAGCTCAGTTTTATGCTGATATTTCTCATTCCTACAGCAGAATTCCAAATAAATCTGTCTCAGTACTTTTTAATAGTTATCATCCTGAAAGATTCCAAATGCCATAAGCTATGTTGAAATCCCTGAAGATAAAAATCCATAATCTTCATCAACTCCAAAATCCATAAACTTGTGGAAAAGCCAAATTCTGAAAATATAATTCTGCCATTGATGATTTCAAAAGGAATTCAAAAGACATCTATTTACACTTTTAAAATGGACTTTATTTCAGAAATACAGAAACATATGACAAAATTCTTCTTAAGCACCAAAAACATATGTACTTTTGGTTGTAAACTCAGAAATACTAACAACAGTTGCACAAGCATAACTGTCACAGAATAGTTACACAAGTCCTGGAGTCCAAAGCCTGGGAGCCTATAGTACTGATGTCCAAGGAAACCAAAGGAAACTCTATCCCATCTCTTAGATTGATTTGTTTAGATTGGTTTGTTGATGATTTGTTTCTTTGTGTGTTTGTTTTTTATATTTACTCTCTCTCTCGGCCCTCCATCAATTGGATGGTGCCCACTCATAATAAGAGCGAGTTTCTCCACCTACTCGAAAAGTCACACTGTAGCTTTTCCTGGAAACACCCTGCAGACACACCGAAACCATGATTTACTGGGTTTGACATATTGATTTTGCCTAACACAAAGCAATGATCCAATGTGTCCTGCTTATCCTGCAGGTATCCTGCTGAAAATGCAGTATTCCATTTCCCCAAATTCTGCGTTCTACCCTCAAATATTTCCTCTCTGTTCCAATAGGAGTTGTAGTTTTGGATGTTTTGTTTTTCATGATGTCAACATCCCCAACTTCTAATCTTTTTGGAATTGTGTGTTTTGATACTTTAGACGTTAGACATTTTAATTTGGGGGAATTTCAACATTGGAAGTAATGATTTGGGATTTGATCTTGTAAGTTTATGACTTTCAAAGGTTTAACAAGTATGTGCTTTCTTTTGAAACTTCCAGAGAAATAAAGAAATCATATTAAATTTGTTTTCTTTTACTTGTTTTAGTATATTTATTTTCTTCACTTATCGACTAGACCTTAAAGGGAGTGTCTTTCACGAAAGGAGACAGAGTTGCTAAATGCTTCAGCAGTTCTCCGCAGATTATGTGCTGGGCACTGCTGATTACCGGATAGTTGGGTCAATAATAAGATCCACGCTTTTCCAGATTGCGGAATCTCATTATGTACGTCATCGTGTCTTACTGTTATATTTCTGTCGCTTGAAGGAAGAAGGAAGAAAGCCACGTGCGAGTGTAATGCTGGAACTGAAGCTTGAGTCGTGACTGTGGGGAAGTCCCTGAGACTGGCCAAGCCATGCTTCTCTTTAATGTGAAATAAGATGAAAAACACTTTTGTCCCTGGGTAAAAACCTTTATAAAGCATTTAACCTAATGTCTACAAAGTTGCATATACTCTGGTAATGAACTTAAGGGATCCTTGGAAATATTAAAGGTATTATTTTCATTATGAAAAGCATGTTATGAGATTTAAAACTTAGAGCACTGGAGAGAAAAAAAGAAAATTATACACTCTAACATAGTTTCAGGGAAGGTGTGGTGGTGCATGCCTGTGGGAGGCTGAGGTAGGAAGATTGCCACAAGTCTGAGGCCGGTCTGGGCTATGTAATTAGTTCAAGGCCAGCCTGAACTACATAGCAAGACCTGACTCAATGCATACATACATACATACATATATACATACATACATAAATAGTTTGAAGGCCACAGTTATATATTATATATATTTTAATTGTATATATATATGATTAAAACCTATAAAATTTAAAATGTAAACTTGAAAGCCATAAAATAAAGTACCCAAATAACTCTGAGATTCTTTCCAGTGGGTTATATGCCCTAAAGAGCCAGAGGGTGGAGAAACTGTCAAACCTGGTCTGGGTTAGTGACCAAGACATTTAAACCCATTTTCCATTTGTTCATTGTTGAATTGGCAGGAAGGTTCCATATCCATGGGTGAAATGCAGGCCTTCAAACTTAGCTTCCAGTCATGAAGATCACCAAAGACAGTCTACTGCTTAAACTCAGGCTTGTTGAAGAGGGAGCTCTGGAAGCCCTAGTGCAACAGTGGAGGACCCAAGGTGGTCTGGTTTGTCATGCCCTTCTCACTCATTTTTCTACAGAAGACACCTGGGCAATAAACTGAGATGAAAATTCCTAAGCCTATCTCTCCACCCTCCACTCTATGGTCATCCATGTGCTTCCCCTTCATAGGAACTCCAGAAAGAACTGATGCTGGACACTGGGCCCATGGAAAACATACTCACTTTAAAAAGTAAGATGAAATGACAGTCATTTTTTAGTATCTATGGGGAATGGTTCCAGAACCTTAGACGCTAAATGGTTCCAGAACCATAGACACTAAACTCATGAATCTTCAAGTCCTGTATAAAAAATACTATGATATTAACTTACAAGTTATGCATATATACCTGTACATTTTAAATCATTTTTCTAAATTATTTATAATGTCCAACACAATGTAAATTTTACGTAAATAGTTTTTATAGTGTATATTTTAGGAAACAATAACAACAAAAATGTCTCTGCAGGTGCAATTTAAAGAAAATACATAACTGAGCTCTGATTGATTGAATATGTGCAAGCAGAACCCCACAGAAATTGGGGTCAACTTACTACTTCCTTATTCTCTCTGCTTCTCCATTTGTAGAAGGAATGATCCTATTCTACTTATTTTAGAATAAAATGCAATATGATAGCTGTGCAAGACATAATGTGATTCATAAAAGAGTGGAGCATATTTTATTAATAGTTTTATTATTATACTAGGTAATGTTGCTAGTAAAACATCTTGGTGCACATATGTGCTTGATGCAAGACAGGATTCTCCTTCTTCATGCAAAGCACATACAGAATTGCCCTGGTGGGGTGTGACATTTGTTAGAATGGCTATGCTCTGGTTTAAATGTGTCTCCTTCAAAATTTAGGTTTTGTCAATATGATTACACTAAGAAGTGGTGTCTTTAAGAGCTGATTAAGCCATAAGAACATCTCATTATGAATAGGATTAAGGTCCTTATGAAATAGATGTCACAGGTGGGTTTTTGGTGGTTTGTGCCTATAACCCCAGGACTCTGGAAAACTAAGGTAAGAGGATTGCAAGTTTGAACCCAGGTGGCAGTTTGTGTAAATTAACCATTTAGTGCTTTTAAAAAATGTTAAAAATTTTAAAAGTCTGGGAATGTAGGTCAGTGCAAAGACCCTGCTCCGAGTTCAGTGTCCACTGTCACACACACACATACATCACACTCCCATATACGCAATCACACTTACACATTCGTATAATGCTATCACACACCTTTCTACCTTCAGCTGGATGAGGGCAGAGTCTCTTTCCTCTGAAAGAAGCAGCAACAAACAACCATCTGGGGACAGAAAACAGCCTTCACCAGCAACCAAAATCAGCTAGTGACTTGATCTTGGACTTCTGAGTCTCTAGAACTGTGAGAAAATAGATTTATTTTCTTAGAAATTACCCAGTCAACAATATTTGGTTTTAGCAGTATAAGTGGACAATATATATCTAGTACTGAAGATTGTCAAACAAATCTGATGATTTATTTCAATATATTTTGTGTGTATGAGAGTCAAAAGAAAACTAATCAAACTGGAGCTGAAGCTCAGCAATAGAGAGCATGCCTAGCATGTGAGAGGTCCTGGGTTTGATCCTAAGCTCTGTAAAAAAGGAAGAAAAGAAAATGAATTAATCAAAATTCTGAAGCTTGTTGGAGTTGTTTTAGAATAAAACCTTAACTAACATTTGCATAATCCTCATATTTTAGGTAACAGATAAAACTCCGCCTTAGATGTTTGTCTATATATGAAAAAATCATGGTTATTTAGTGAGATAGATGGGATTTCCAACGTTTTCAATAGAAACCAAACCCTTGGAAATGCACTAGGGGAAAGAATCAGAAGTTTTTAATCAAATCTATAGAAGGTGATTAGATTCGATATCATGTTTTATTTTATGAGAGCACGTACTTCTATAATTTTTCTCAGTATAGGTCATCTCTAAAATGTTCATTTGAACTTTTTAATGATATTATAAGAAAAGGTCTTCAAAATATTTATTTGAAGATCTTCTTTTGAAAATTGGTCTTGATTCCATTTATTACTATTAAAGTGTACTGATCAATTTATACTACTCTAAGTTTAGTTACTACCTGATTTATTATTTCATTCCTCTTATGTACTGAAATATCTTATAAAAGGACAATAACTAAGTAGGTATTGATATAAGGAATGCATGGATCACTAGTAATTGATTAAAGCACTAGTAATTGATTTTTAAATAAATTGATAAGATCTAGTATGATAAATATAATGGGAAAGTTATAAGAAAATATTCCCAATATCATTATAGGATATTAATTAGGTAGTGATTAAAATAGTTAGTTTTGTGCTTTTTCACATCAATATCCCTATACTCATTCAATTAGTTTTAAAATTAAATTCATGCATAAAATTTAAAAACCATATATTTAATCATTCCTGTTCTTTGTGGGAATTTATCTGTATTTTTAAATTATTTAACTTATATCTTATCACCTCTTGAAATTCCAAAGCAGTATAATTATTATTTCAAAAGCTGTAATATTTTTAAGTATCCAGTGTTTATAATCACGTAAATGAGAACATTTATTTTATTATTCACTTTGGCAGAGGCAACTTTATTTTCAAAGGCATTGGTTCAATAGTGCTCTTTAAAAGCATTTAAGGAAAGAAGGAGGAATGGGTCCACAACCAAAGCCTAAAGTGAAATTAGAGTTCATAAAGAACTTTCTCCTCTTTTTCATCAGGAAAATGCTTCAAATATGTACTTCCTAGTGAATACATTTGTTTTCTTTTTTTGTTTGTTTGTTTTGTTTTGTTTTTCTTCGGGTATCAGGAATCAAACTCACGACCTTGTGCTTGCCAGGCAGGTACTTTGCCGCTGAGCTAAATCCCCAGCCCCCTAGTGAATACATTTGTTCTGGCATTCACTTATTCTTGCCTGTGCGCGTCATCCAAAAACTGTTCTGTTTTGTCGCCTTGTAATGGTTGCAGGCAAGGAATTTGGAAACAAATTGTCTGGTCTCATTCGCTCCTGTAGCACACAAACTTTCTTTAAGCCACTTATTTATGTCCTTAGCAGTCAAATGTAAATGTACATGGGAAAATGAAAGTAATGCCTGCCTGGAATTTAGGAAGATACAGTGTGTTAAACCATCAAAGGACTAAAGACAAAATCCACCACAGAGTGCATTTATTTCAATAATTATGCACAGTGACATACATTGAAGCCTTAATATGTCATGTTGTACGCCAAAAAGATTTAATGAGTTAATTCATTAACATGTATGCATATGAATTTTGACTTTACAATAATTTTACAGATGATAAAATAGAAGATCAGAACATTTAAGCAAATTACATAAGTCCACATGTTCAGAAGATGATTAAAGCAAAATTAAAACCAGAAGATCTAGCTCTGAAAGACTCAATTTCTACAACTGTAAAGCAATTGCCGGTTTTCACCTGCCAACCAAACTCACCAAATTCAAAATATTTATGGGCATAAATATATTCCTTCCAAGTGTATCTAGTGCAAAAAAAGAAATCCTCCTTGAAGGAGACATTTCTATTCTTTTTCCTTTTTCTTTCCATAAACACTTCAAAACAAATTAAACCGTGTCGTAAAATGGAAGCATTTAATGAACCCTAACATCCACTTATTGCTGTTTAAACTGCAAAGCAATAGGGATTATCCCTTTAATATTTAATACTTTCATAAATCTGCTCCAGAAAAATCTCTTTTCCTATGTCTGTATGTCTTCACTGATGGTTCATTGCTTTTGAGAAGTTTATTGTACCTTAGTTCTACAAGATGAAACATTTTTAATTTAAAAATAGAACAGCCAAGTGATAATTGCAAATAAACAATATTATAACATATTATATGTCTTTAGTGTGATCCATCATTAAAAATGGCCACTATGTGTCTATATTTTTAAAATTATTTTACTTAAAAGTAAAAAGTCAAGGTGACCCCAAACAGCCTTTACAAATTACTGTGGAAAAGACAAACTCTATCCTACAACAAATCCACATCGTTACTACATCATGAAAAATAATACTTTCGTAGAAGTGTGTACACTGAAATATAATCTCTGTGAAGGCAGGAATGTTGTTATTTTCTGCAATGTGTCTTAGCACTTCTAGGGAGTGATTGAAACATTAGCTCTGCAGATATATTAACTCTCTTCAGGAAATATTTGAAGAGCAAGTACTGAGTGAATGGAAACCTCGGAGGAGGCTAAGGACTTGAGCACGAGTAATTTGGTTTCCTGCACAGGATTAAGATAAGCCTCATGATTTGATGTAGCTTCAGCTCTTCCATCCTGGAAAAAAAATTGATGATTTCTAATCAGACTTAATGTGAGTGAGAGCAATATAAATTTGTGACTCAAATCACTGTCTCATCCTCCAGGCTTTTGTTGATATTTGGACAGAAAAGTCTTGTTAATTGAGAACTTTAGCATGTATGAATTCACCACGCCCCTTTCTGAAAGAGAGTTCAAAGATACGCGTTAATCAATAAAAAACGGAACCTCAAAATTTGGGTATTTTTGGCCGTTTTTCCTCATTTTTCTTCAGAACCTGCTTTCTTGCCAAAGTCAGACCAGTTCTCCTTAAATAAGAACAACTCATGTATGGGTGTATAATTTAGCATCATTTTCCAATCTCGTGGATCCATTCCTCCTCCCTGTGTTTCCCCGCACTGTAGTGTACCCCACCCGCCGATTCTCGGAGCAGACTCACTTCAGTCTAATTCCCTGCCACACAAGCAAGTTTCAATGAACACATATGCTCAAGTAATTTATACGGGGTTGTGCTTGAAGAGAATAGTGTGAGCAAAGTAGGAAGTTGAAGGAGAAATGCTACATAATAATATCTCCAATGAGGACTACCTTCTGAAAGAAGTCCATAAGAAATTCTGCACCTCTTTTAGTCTTTCCTTCAGGTAATAGGGCCAGCATGATAAAAGTACTCACAGACTATGTCATTGCCACGGGGTGAGGAAAGGAGACAGCTCAAAGTTGAGGTCAACTCCGTTTGTTTGAAAATATTCTCCACAGAAGGGAACAGTGGTGAGATGGTGATAAGCATCATTCACAGCGTCTTGAGGACCAATGTAGCACCCTAGTAAAGCAGCCCTGGGAATACAACAAACATGCATCCTGTAGGAAATTTCTTATCCTACTGAGATGTACTTGCTTCTCAGATGAAATTTACTACACAAAGTCTCAACTTCTCTTCCACTCTAGTTAGTCACAAGTGAGGATAATTTATAAAAGAGTTATGGGCTGAAATTCTCCCACAGCTACTGATGAAATCTATCTTATATTTTATCTTCCTTAGCTAAAACTTCCAGAGATGTTGACCTTCATCACTGAGGATGCTGAGTTGATAGCTGCAACTTTTTAATCAGGAATTGTCAGCATACTTGCCCATTTTCTGTTAAAATTGAACAGGAAAGTACCAAGTGATCACTAATGCCCTCCTGCTGGATCAGGGGCAGTGACTCAGAGAAGAGCATTTGCAAATTTTGAGCAAATATCACAGAAGCTAGAAAATGAGTGATGTAGCCTGTGAAGGAGATCTGACTGGGGCACTTCTATTTGCACTATGCAAGAATTACACCTTTCTGCCTCAGGCTCTGCCCTTTCCATCTTTGTACTAGGGACCTTTGTCCTTCTGTGTCAATGGCCAATTCTTCCTCTATCCTCTGGGAGTCACGTGTGCTTCCTTGTAAGAGATGGAACCACCACACATCCACCTAGGCCTTATGGTCATTATTTTCTATATCATCTTGTGCTTTCCTCCTTCCAACACTTGGTTAGATCCACGCTTACTTGTGTGATTTGAAAAGCTTACTTGTTTTTCCCTATTTATTGTTAACAGATATGCTCAATGAGGATAACATTAATTTTAGCTTGTTTATTTCTGCATCACTAGTTTCAGTGATGGAGAATAAAATAGAAAACTGAGTGGATGTAAAATAAACGTCTGCTGAGTGCATATTTGAATGCATCAGTTGTGTATAATCACATCAAAGGGCCTCTGTCTTCATCTTTTATGTGGACATCATAAATATCTGTGCCATATAAGGACTCTAGGATAATTTTATATTTACCTGGTTTATCTTCTTAGGGAACAATGTGTATCTGTGGCTATGCCTCCCGTTCCATCATGAGAATTATTTCATACACTTAACTGTTCAGCTTATTTTCTCTTCCTCTCTCTTCAATTTGTAAATTCATCAAAGAATGGATACAATGAATTGTATCTTAAATATTCACTTTCCATCAACATATTTGTTTCCTTTCTCTATTAGTGTTATTGTAATGCCCTGTGTGTCTTTGTGGCTTTGGAAACATATTCACAAGGTTATGCTTTGTATATGATTAAATTTTAATTTTTTATTTTGGAAACTAAATGCAAGATGGTGTGAAATTATAATTCTCTGAGTGATAAAGTTAAGAAATTTTTTTTTATTTTAAAGAGAGTAGTGAATGAGAAGCAAACAAAAAAGAAATAGAACTGTAGCAGCATACCAGTATCACAAACAAGCAAATCAGAGCAAGAACATTCAAAGTGATACAGAGTGTCAAGACAAAACAATAACAATTGACAGTGGCTGTTACATCACATGTTGCTAGAAATGTCAAAGAAATAAGACTGTGATTTGATTGATTGATTCTGTGTAAAAGGAAACTTACACAATTTATTTGGGGAGAAGAAGTAAAGTATTTTAAACAATGCACAAGTATGTATAACATGCAATGAATATCTCTGTACAATATTCACATTGGTACATGGTTCTTACAAATATATGTGTACATGTACATTTATTTATGTATATGCATATGTATGATAGTGCTTATAAGTAAGATATGACCATTTTTACCTTATATATTGAGACTTTTCATTAAGAAAAGCAATGTTAATATCCCATTCCCATCAGTACCACCCTTTAATAAAACTTTGACTACTCTCATAAAAATACAAAAGCCAGCTCAAACTGTTTACTTTCATATCCTTAGTGTTATTGATTTTTAACACTCCATATGTTGTCTTTTGTACTTTTGAAGATAAGATGTAATTATTGAAAAAATGGATCAATAAGAGATTCGAGTGCTTATGAGTTTATCTCAGACTGCCTGAAGCTCCATTTCTCAAGAAAACAAGCCATTAACATGTACTTTCCCTGGGAAAGAAAATTAACCAGAGGCAGTATTCTGGAAAAATTGCTGAAGTTTACTTCATATGCTTCATAATATCTGATGGTCAAAATATTTTAAAAATTACCCTCGGAATGATTCATAACAGGACAATGAACTCTAAAGGAAATTTTGTAAAGAATTGTGATTCTAAAATATCTCAAATGTTAATTATTTCCAAGTATTCATGCTGGAATATGTGCAAAGCATACTAAAATAGGAAATGCAATCTCACTTTGAAAATTATCTAAACTGGGCCGGGCACGGTGGCTCACACCTGTAATCCCAGCACTTGGGAGGCTGAGGTAGGAGGATCGTTGTGAGTTCGAGGCCAGCCTGGGCTACAAAGTGAGCTCAAGGCCATCCTGAACTGTATAGCGAGACCCTGTCTCAAAAAAAAATAAAAAAAAAAAAAAAAAAAAAAAAAAAAAAAGAAAGCACTATCTAAACTGAACTGTGTTCATGCTTGATAGATATATATGTTATATATATATATAAAATTGTTATCTATAGATATATAATTTCAGCTACTCAGTTATGTAATAAAGCAATTGACTCTTTGAAATGATCAAAAAACCATTCTTCTGGCAAAAAGGTTTTCCCTATCTATGGGTAGTCTTTGTTCTCTGTTGGTAATTTTTTTGCTATAAAATAGCTTTTTAATAAGATGAGATCATAGGTGTCTACTCTTTGTAATATTGCCCATATGATTGGAGGTTTTGTTCATAAAGATTTGCTTACACCTATATTTTTAAGAGTTCTGCCTATTCTGTTTTTCAGCAGGTTTAGTGTTTCTGAATTAATATCTAGATTTTTATACATTTTTATTTTAATTTACTGTATCATGAGAGATATGATTCTAGTTTTAGTCTTTGGCATGTGGAGAACTAGTTTTTCTAGCACCACTTATTAAAGAGGCTTTCTTCCAGTAAAAGTATTTGGACCCTTTGATAAAAATAGGGTGACTGAATGTGTTCAGAGATGTTTCTGCATCTTCTAATCTGTTCCATTGATTCTTAGGTCTCTTTAAAAACTTTTTCCATGTACTATGCTAGTTTTTTTTTACAATAGTTTTACAATAACAGTATAATTTCAAGTCAGAGATTGAGATGTCCCCTGCCTTGCCTTTGTTGGCCAGAATTGTTTTCACTATTGTAAGTGTCTTCTGGTTCCAAATGAATTTAGGATCATTTTCTATATTTCTGTGAGATATGCTGCTGGAATTTTGATCAGAATTGCATTAAATCTGCATAACAATTTTGGAAGTATGGTCATTTTCATTATATTGGTTCTTCCTCCCCAAGAGTAAGGGACATCTTTCCACATTCTGATATACTCCTTGGTCTCCTTTTTCAGAGTAATTTTCAAAGTAAAAGTCTTTTACATTCATTATTAGACTGATTCCTAAGTATCTCATTTTTTGATGCTCTTGTAAAGGTGTGGTTTCCCCAATTTGTATCTCAGTGATTTTGTTATTTGTATACAAGAATGTTATTGATTTTTGAGTGCTGACTTTGTATTGAACTATGTGATTGAATCTGTTTATTAAATCTAGTAGTTTTTTGGTGGAGTTTTGGGGGTCTTCTGTGCAGAATATCATGTCATTCAGCTGCTCCTCAGACAAAGGATTAATATCTAGAATATACAGAGAACTCGAAAAGATCAAATCCCCTAAATTTAAAGATCCAATCCAAAAATGGGCATATGAAATGGACACTTCCCAAGTAAAGAAGTACAAATGACAAACAAATATATGAAAAACTATTCAACATCACTGGTCATTCAAAAGATGCAAATTAAAATAGCACTGAGGCCCCTTCAATCAGGCAGGCAGTGGCTCTGCATATCACAGTAGCAAAGAAGGAGCAAGTAGCTATCAAGAAAATCAGTCCTTTTGAAAACGAGGCTTACTGCCAGAGAACCCTGAGGGAGATAAAAATCTTACTTTGCTTCAGACATGTGAATATCATTGGCATCATTGATATTATCCATGCACCAACCATCAACCAAATTAAAGATGTATGAAAAGTAGAGGACCTAATGGAAACAGACCTTTCAAAAGTCTTGAAGACCCAACAACTCAGCAAAAACCATCTCTGCTATTTTCTTTACCAGATGGTTAAAAAGTTAAAATATATCCACTCAGCTAACATTCTGCACTGTGATCTCAAGCCTACAAACCTGCTGCCCAACACCACCTATGCTGTCCAGGAAACTTACATCTCTAGTACATGAAACTTCTTTTTAAAGCCATGGGAGAAGATTTGATGATAAGAAAAGGGAGGGAAGTAGGGAGAATCTTTGGAAATACTGACATTCCTGGACTGAATGGAAGACAAGGAGCAGGTCTGAGAAATGGAAGGTTAGTGCAAACTGAGGAGGTGATCCCACCTGCAATGAACCCTGGAACTTAGGTCATAGAATGGGTTCAAGAAAGAGCTTTGAATGAGTTGATCATTTGCAGCAAAGTATCTGACATCATAATGCTCTGTGACTTTGGTCTGATCCACATTGCAGATCCTGATCATGATTACACAGGGTTCCTGACAGAGCATGTGGCCACAGGTTGGTACAGGGCTCCAGAAATAATTGGATTCCAAGGGCTATAACAAGGGCCATGACTATTTGGTCAGTGGACTTCATTCTGGCAGAGATGCTCTGCAACGGGCCCATCCTTCCAGGAAACCATTATCTTGACCAGGTGAACCACATTCTAGGCATTCTTGGATCCCTATCACAAGAAGACCTGAATTATATAATAGATTTAAAAGCTAAAAAAAAAATTGCTTTCTCTTTCACACAAAAAATACTCTGTCATGGAACAAGCTTTTCCCAAGTGTTTACCCTAAAGCCCTGGACTGCTGGACAAAATGTTTACATTCAATGCTCACAAGAGGATTGAGGTTGAACAGGCTCTGGCCCACTCAGATCTGGAGCAGCACTATGACCCAAGTGATGAGCTCATTGCTGAAGTGTCATTCAGGTTTGATGTGGAACTGGATGACTTTCCTGAGGAAAATCTCAAAGAACTCCTTTTAGAAGAGACTGGTATTTCCAGCCAGGATACACTCTTAAATTTGTCAGGATGTGGGCTCAGAAGACTGGGCGTGATCAGACATCAGTGTTTCTTCTCAGTTCTTGACTCCTGCTCTTCTCTCCGGCCTGTGTTAGTTTATCCACCTTGATTCCTTTGAGCTTATTGGAAGGGTGGTTTCCGGTAATTGTGACTTTTATGCTTTCAAAGAATTCCTTCAGTCCAGAGAATTCCTTCTAGCACCCCTGTGTGTGTCACCACCAGAGACCCATGGCAGTGTGTACAGTGTGTACTTTCAGTGCACCTAATGCTTACTGTTGCTTTTATCTTTTTTCCACTTTCTGGTTTGAAATATGCAGTGGTTCTTCCCTCTCCTGCATCCTCTCCAACCCAGGTGGCCTCAGAGCAAACCTTTCCAGACTGGCAGCCGTCACCGACATCTTACTTTATGAAAAGAAAGTCCTACCTAGAACACTTTAAGTCAGTGGTAGCACTGAATTTGCACTTTTTCTGTCACTTGCAACTGTCTCCCCAGAGCAGGAGCTCGTGGAGATACTTTGGATGACTTTGCAGTCTGCAGCAAGTGTTTCTGCCTTGGGAACCTTTGGAAGCACACATGTCTATCTTTTCTCATAGCGTGGTAGTCACAAACACATTTAAGGCATGCACTGTTTGCCCAGATTTTTAAAAAGTCATTCATTTTTCTAAACAAAAAGGAACTACACTCAGCAATGTCATTCTACAGATTTATTGTGGTTACTTTTATCATTTATTTATAAAAAGTATGACATTTACCAAAATGCATTACATGTAGTACTTAGTGTTTACAAGAGCTGCACAAAAAGATATAAAGTGGCAGTTGTGCTCAGCATTTGGTAACAGACTCACCAAAGTTACAGCACTGAGCTGGGGAAAGTTGCTGGAGAAGGAGTCGGCAAAATGACCCAGAAGTCCCAGGTGGAGGGTCCCACGCCTGGTGCACACATGCCCTGAGCTGCTTCACACAGTGTGTCTTTTAGTAACCATGTTCAATGCCTGAGAATTTACTGAGAGGAACACTGCATCTTTAAATGAGAAAGTGTATGATCCTTCTTTCCTTCTGCAGCATGTCAGCAACTCGAGTTCATTTTTCAACCTAGGATAGAACAGTTTATAATAAAGCCTTTATGAGCTCATAAGGTGGATCACTGTTCTATCATCAAATACCCTCAGATACTTCTGAACTACTGAGTTAAGAACATCAGAAAAAGCAATCTCTAAGTCATGTTCAGAGATCTCTCCACATTTTCCTGGTCTCTTTAAGTATTTATTCCTACCACTGTGTACTGTGGCATAGATGTGGTGGTCTGTCTCAATGCCATGCCTCCTGACTCCCACACTGCCCTCCGTGGTGAGAAATTTGCCTTGTTCAATAATTACTGTACCCTCCCATGGCTGCTACAGCTTTCCACACAGAGAAGACTGTCCAATTGCCACTTGCCTAGGATTGAAGTGAAAAATCTATTGTTACCTTTGTGTTGTGTTCCACAGAAAATGCTATCCAGCAGATCATTTAGGAAAAAAATTCTATTTTTACTTTTCATTGCTCAGTTGTCCTTTTACTTGTTTTTTTTTTTTATAATAATGGTTATATAAAGGATGTCTGCTAATGTGAACAGCACTTCACATGTAATTCATGGAAATAAATGTACATCTTTATCTTCAAAAAAATAAGAAATAAAACAGCACGGAAATCCCATCTCACTCCAGGAAGAATGGCCATCATCAAGAAAACAACCAATAACAAATGCTGGAGGGGCTGTTGGGAAAAAGGAGCCCTTCTCCGCTGTTGGTGGGAGTGTAGACTGGTATAACCACTGTGAATATCAGTGTGGAGATTCATCAAAAACCTAAAGCTAGAGATTCCATTTGTCCTAGCTATTGTCCTTCTTGGGATCTTTCCGAAAGATTTAAGAGCATCATACCAGAGCAACATATGTACACCCATGTTTATTGCAGCACAGTTTGTAATAGCTAAATTTTGGAAAGAGCCAAAATGCCATCAAGCTATGAATGGATAAAAATGATGTGGATTTTTTATACAATGGAGTACTGCTCTACCTTAAAGAAGAATAAGTCTGAGATATTTCTAGGTGAATGGATGCACCTTGAGACTACACCCTTAAGTGAAAAAAATCCTACACACATGTACAAATATTACATGGTTTCTTTGCTGTGAAAAACCAAAAGCATAACTAAGGGCTAGAATGTATAATAGATAGTGTGAGATAGGGGAAAATGATCAAATGGGAAGGGCAACTAGGAAAGAGGAGGGGGAAAGGAAGGAAGATAGAAGAAAAAAGAGAAAAGAAAAAAAATGGAAACAAAGCTTTTGTAAATAAGGAGGAGAGGAGGAGAGGCATGCACTGTTTGCCCAGATTTTAAGAAAGTCATTCATTTTTCTAAACAAAAAGGAACTACACTCAGCAATGTCATTCTGCAGATTTCCTGTGGTTACTTTTATCATTTATTTATAAAAAGTATGACATTTACCAAATTTACCAATTGAAGGAAGAGGAAGGGAATGAAAGCAAAACAAATCAAGATATATCATGTGCAATTCAAATTCCCTATGATGAATGTGATCATTACCTATATCTAAAATATACCAATAAAATTAATTAATTTTTTAAAAACTAGAAAAATAAAGAAAAAAACATTCCTCTTGTTAGGCACTGTGGTCACATTTGTCTGTTCAGCTCTTAAGGAAATAACAAAAGCAATGCTTCCTCTCTGGCTTTGAGACTTAAAACGTATTCATTTCAAACACGCATATTCATGAGTTTTTTTTTCTTTTACCTTATCTGGCCTTGCCTTTACTTTCCTAAATCTAATTTTAGCTTGCGTAAAATACTCTGATATTTTGAGTGCATCCTTGGAAAAGACTAATGCATAAATTAACATAAATAATCCCTTAGATGCAGTTGTATCCTAAGCCATCTGTCTATCTGAAATGTAACGTCTTTTATTTGATTGGCTGGGCAAAGCCCATGCTTCTTCCATAATTGTAGGCCTTACCTAAGTAAAAAATAAATAATTGACACAGTATGTGCATGCAGTCCCAGCTGCTCAGAAAACTGAAGCAGGAGAAGTGTTTGAACATGGTATGGTTTAGACCTAGAATGTTGCTCAAAAGTTTCAAGTGCTCAAAGGTTGATCTTGTGAAAGGTGACTCCATCCTATGGGCACTATACCCATTAGTAGATTCATTCACTAATGAGCTCAGCAGGTGAATGTGTTGTTGGAGGTGGTTCACTTGGGGATTTGGCCTGGAAATTTGTGTCTTCCCTGCCAGCTCCTTCTTTAACTCCCTGATTCCTGGATGCCATGTGCTCAGCACCTTTTCCTCCACCATTCTCTTTGGCCATCCTGTGTCTCCCTTGGAATCAGCCAACAGTGGACTGAAATGGTGATCCAAAATAAACATTTCCTTCTTTAAATTGTGAATTTGGGGTATTGTGACCCAGCAGTGGGAAAGAAACTGTAACAGAGCCCAAGACTCTGAGGACAGTGTGGAGAACATAGTGAGACCCTATCCAAAAAAGTCTAAGAAATATAAACTAAAAGAAACACTTGAAGTTTCCTGAATAACTTTGTACCATAGACTCAATGGACTCATGAGAATAAGTAGGATAAAAGCTCCCCTTGCTGAACATGGTGGTGCAGGCCTGTAATCCCAGGGCTTGGGAGGCTAAGACAGGAGGATCACTATGAGTTTGAAGGCAGCCTGGGATACATAGTGAGTTCAAGGCCAGTCTGAACTACATAGTGTGACCCTACCTCAAAAATAAAAAGGCTTCCCTGAAAGTTTTATGAACATGAATATATTCCTCATGTATTTCTTCAAATCTTGCATTTTCTCTGACATCGTCCCTACTGTTTCTCTCACTTCTTTGCAACACTATTGAAGAGATACCACACAGTTTACCTCTCACGAGCACTCATACAGCTAAGCACACTATATCCTCTATTATTTACTTTATCACTACTAATGGTAAAAATAATTTTTAATCACAGTAATAACTGGTTTAAATTATGTATATATATGAGAATTGAATCCAGAACCTTAAAACTGACTTACATTCCTAGAATTTTTTATTTCTTATTCTGAGCCAGTGTCTTGCTCAGTTACTAAATTGTCTGGGCTGGTCTCTATCTGCAGTTCTCCTGCCTCAGATTTCCAGTATGATGATAATAAATAATCATTCTCCATTTATATTACGACTGGGTATGTTGATGTTTATGGAGCTTTATGCACATTACTCATTAAAGATATATTGCTGTTTTATGGCAAATATAACTGAGATATGAAGAAGTAAAGTGAATTAGTGAAAGTCAAATGAATGGGATTTCAATTTAGGCACATGAGGTCTGACTTTTAGTATAACACATGCACTGAACAACCTCAGTAACGTAGAGTTCACCAGCTTTTGAAGCAGTCATTTTTTTTTCTTCCCCTACTCCAGGGAAAAATGTTTTAATTAGAAAGCTTCTGTATACGCAAGTGAATTCAAAGCATATTCAATTAATTGATTACTCAGAGTAATCAGAGCCTATTATACATATTCTCATACTTCTAGTGTTTACATTTCTATATAACAGAGATTATTATTCATTAGAATATCTCTCATACAGACTGAAAGGGGCGTCATCAAGCTTAGCTATTACTGAACACATGGAATTACATAAAAATACTTCTCAAGCATTTAGCTGGTAGAAATTTTGAATCATAAAAATCAATACTATGATAGCATTTTACAAAACTGTATAAAATATAACACAATGAGCTTAGAAAGACACAACATGCTAAACAAGCAAAGAGGTTTGAGTTACTCAATTGCTGTGAAAACACACACTCTTACATTTACTATTGGCAGGCATCTGATAACACAAAGAAAAATAGCCATAATCATTGGAAATTACATAAGTCAGTTGTACAGTAGAGTCTATGGAGAATAAGAAATCACATCAAAACATATGGGATATATGAGCAACTGTTACATTTAATTGCTAAACCTATTTATTCAGTATATTTTATGAACACCTCCCCTAAGACACGTAGATAATATGTGGTTCTTAGCCGTAAGGGTTTTAGAATCTTATGGGCAGACGGGTTTCATTAAATGTAGCACATGTAACTGGGACGTAGAAGAGAACAGAAGAATCTGGGTCTAGTTTGGGAGAAGTGACAGTTACACTGTGACTGAAACAATATCAGGATATTCCAGGAAGAGATATGACACTGACAGCAAGAAGCAGAAGTAGGCAAAGACAGTGTCATAAGTTGTTGTACCCTTTCCAAAATATATATTTTGTATTCTAAAGGGCATAAAGGTCCGTGTAAGAATTATCAGCAAGATGACATCAACAGCAATGACAATTATGACACTGTGAGGCTTTAACAATTTTGGGGAGAATATGGTGGACAGATGCAAACAAGGAAAATCAGGAGGCACATTATGACTTTCTAAGCAAGAGTTGAGGCCTAACTTCCCCAGTAGTACTAAGAAGAGAGAGGAGAGAAAATGACTTACATTTTGGTATGTTGTGCTGGTCAGTTTTCCTTTCTTTATTCAAAATATCTGACAAGGATAACCTAAAAGAGGGGGGATTTGTTCAGGTTCATAGTTTCTGGGGTTTCAGTCCATGGTTGTGTGGATCCTTGGCAGGAACTGAATAGCAGAAGGGCACGCTGGAGGAAAGGTGTTCGACTTATGAAATCCTGGAAGCAAAGAGCAGCTGGTGAAGTCAGAGTGTCAGTGCAGGGGGGTTGGCCAGAGGAATGTGTGAGATGGATACACAGAGGTAAGGGACTTTTGGAGCCACATGCCCGAAACCTCCCAGAATGTATGGTTAGAGACTAAAATACAACCTGCAGGGCCACAAGTCAAAGTCCAGACCAAACACACTGCCTTAGGGAATTAATGCTTTGCCCGTTGTCCTCCCCATACTCTGATTTATTACTTAGAGTGGCTCTAAGATGAATTATGTAACAGGCTGTCCCAACTTTCCCTGTCCTTGCCCCATTTCTTAATGAATTCCTGCACAGGGGTTGTCCTTCCTTTTCCTTTCTTTCTGGTTCTATCAATAGAGGCTTCACTTTGGGGCTGTCCTTATCAGGCTCTCTCATGCTGAAGGGTCTCCATTCATGGGAGCACCTCTGAGCTCTCTTGGAGTCTGAATTGAGGACTGACTCTGAGTAATCTTTTAGTAATCTTTCATCCTTTCCACCATGCCAAGCTTATGAACTGCAACAGTAAGGGTCCACGTGTACCAGATATAGTCCCAAGATCATATGTGCCATAATACACCAAAAATTACCCAGAAATGTACTTTACTAATCTCAGAAATTTCTCAAATTAGTCAAGTTGATGGCAAAGATGAACCAAGGTGAATGTATCCCTCATCAACTTGTCACTCAAAAACACCTTAAACCATATTTATTTCAACATAGAGACAAGAACAACATCATAATTCTGCCTAACGTGATAAAACTATCCCACATACAATGGAAAAC